TTTGTTTAGCATCTATATGTCAAGACATAGATTGTCGTTTGTGTCAATTTGGAATTCAATAACGTTCTTGTATGATCACAATACAGGCCGTAATTTTCGGAAAACGACAATTAAAGCATGGTTATCTATGTAAATGTAAGAGTACAATAACTTCATTATTTTGCCATCAAAGTTCAAAATTTTGAATTTTGCACATAACATATCCTATAGCTTTTGATTTCTTGAAAAGATACATATGGCCATTTGATTCGCTAGGTAATATTATTATAATAGGTATTTGATCCGCGTTTCCTAACATTTGTTAAGAAAGGAGAAGAAAGAGATGCTTCTTATTTGTTACGGTCCTATTGCCACGAAGCTGAAGCTTTTTTCTCTAGCCATTCTGCTTTTCAAAATGTGGTCTTTTATTCTTAGAAAATACGCCGAGTAAAAAAAGATTTCAAAATAACAATGAATTTTGTGAAGTTTTCATCACGTGTTGAATTGAGAAATACACGCGATAAGAAGTTAGAACAGTCAGGTTAGAAATTTTCTCGATAAAAATGATACAAATGTTCAAAAATTTCAGAAATTCCAATGATATGTAATAGCTAGGTTTTCTCATCCATTCTATCTGTTCTGAGGCGTAACATATTGGAGGATTTGATCAGGAAGCAACCCATGTTTTCTTGAAAAAATGATAGCGGAATTCGGTGAACTTTTTTTAACATGACTAGGACTACTCTTTCGCCGCCAAATTAGAATGTACCTTGTCATTTTTCGAATAACTCGAGAACAGAAGATGATAGAGACTTGCGATTTTCACCATTCGATAGCCAAAACGTTTTCATCAGCAAAAAACTTTTGAAATTACTTTTCGAAAACCCGCTTTCTAGACGATCTTTTGAAAACAGTTTTACAACTGGGAAATTTAAAATAGCAATATATTGGCTTTTTTCATGTGTAAGTAATCCAAAGTCTCCTCTTCAGAATTGAGGCCAGGCGAAGCATTGGTTTCCAGTGGTTCGGGCGTGGTATCGAATTTCCCCAGTACCCAGTGGCTGTTGTTACTTTGAAAAGCCGGTAGGTTATATATAATCGATCATGCTTGGTCTCATGGTAATATTCATTTTCAGAAAAAAAATCCAAAAAATCAAGCTTTACGACACTTGGAATTTGCCGGGTGTTTTTACATAGCATTAAAAGCTTACGATTCACTCAACAAACGTCAGAACGAGTTTTAAACTTGAGGATATGGGTAATTTTGCACGTACACGTCGTTATGGGTGCGAAAAATTGCAGAAAACGACTAACTTTTAATATTAGGTAGAAACAACTGGAAAATCCTAAGCGTTGTAAAACTTGGTTTTCGCTAGATTTTAAATTTTTTCAGATGGCCATCAGATGGAGTCAGATAAAAGTTTATTCGTTTAAATTTTTATTTTAACAGCAGAATGTCAGAGTAAATCGCTCCATTATGTGTAGCTTTTTCTGCCCTAGAGGTGATTTTTTATAGTTTTCAAGCAGATTTTCTAGAAGTCACAAGAGGAGCAGAAGAAGGCCAAAACATGCGGTTAGAGATTAATAGAACACGATTTCTGCATTCTGCCTTAGTCACTAATTGAGTGAAGGATGTTTGAGAAGCTCATGGATAGCTTTTGGTGTTTTTGACTTCTGATGCATATCAAAAATAATAACGCAAATATTCAAAAGTCCGGTTCTGTCAATCACTATCTGTATGCGCTAGTTTCATTTTCAAACCACTACGAGCTCTCCAGCATCTTTAGAGAAGAAATACTTTGGGAAATACGAACAGCTCCATTTTGTTCGCTAACATCTCTCACAGAGAGATGGATGGAGTCACAAAAATAATTTCGTCACTACACGTTGACATAGTCAATATTTGTTGATAGTTTGATCAAGACCTGACGTGTGATTACCAGGATATGTTTCTACCCGGAAGGGGAGGACCTTAAAAGGGCTCAAATGATGCAAAAGTCATTTATACCCTTACCATATTTTGTTTTACTTTTCATTGTTGAATATTGTGGACCTAGAAAAGAAGAACGTTTAGTGTGCGCGCATTCGTCAGTTCAGTTCAATTCACTCTTCCTATTTTTTATACAAATTCGTACATTTTGTATGATTCATGATTGTTTGTCTCGGGCGACTATAATCATGCTTTACTCATCTCTGTTCTGGAACGTGTTCTCGATCTCCAAGCTGGCTATTTTGGATGTTTTGAATGTTTTATATTCTTTATACATTAAAAAAAATAGCTTTGATAAATCAAAAATTTCATTTGAATTAGTTTTTATAAATCCTTAAATTTTATGAGTTTCACTAGCTTTATTCATAAATAATTTCCCATAGTTCCTTATATTCCATCATCGCACGAGTTTATCTTCAGAGCATTTGAACATTTTTTAATACTAGCTGCATGTCATAATAAAATAACTATATGTTTTCGTTTGCTTTCAAAAACGGCATCATTTGTTTTATTTTCATGAACAACTATTTAACATGGATGACTTGACAAATAATGTATTTCAATTGAACAATTAATCAACGGGTTTAAAACGGACTACTTTACATCCAAGCCAAAATAATATAAAAATTTTAATGAGAATAAAAAAGCATGGCCAACAAATTGTAAGTAATAAATGTTTGGAAACTAATAACCATGGAATTGTTATAAAATAACTACTTAACATTATACGACTAAAAAATGTGGCACCACCCCACAATACCATTATAGAATACACATTGGATACTGCTACAATAGTACCAAATATTTTTAAATAATGAACAAGATATGGAATTTCTAAACATCCATTTACAACACTCTGCTGATAAATGTCATTCTCACGTACTTTTCGTAATAATAAAAAATGTTCACATGACGTATTAAAATTCATTTTATATAATAAATATTCTATTGTTTGTTTAAATGTTGTTAAATTATTGTTAGCTGCTTTGGCTGCTTTTAATTCATTTTCGATGCTTATGTATGAAGAAGAAAATATAATAAAGTACAAAAAAAAAATACTGAGATAATATGTAATGCAAAACAGACGAAATTGTTTTACACTAAAACGACGACGCAGATAATTTCCATCCCACATATCTAAAAAGTAAGAACAAATTGCCTTGGATGGTGATTATCACGTTTGCTTTCCACTGACCTTAGCTCAACAGCCGAAAATCGCTCCATAACAATACATAACGATATGTGAATTGTATGAAAGTTCCTTTAACGTTTATAGTCAACTACTCTGGTCTAACTTCTTCAGCTTTTCTGGCTTTTAGAAAATAGGTCAAAAAGAGGGATACTCCGCGCTAGTTTTAATATGTTATAGATCTCAAGAGATCTATATGTTGAAGGTAATTGCTAATCTTTAAAATTAATGTTGTTTGATACTCACCACGAAGTTCACGGATAACTTGATTACAATAATTCAACACCGTCATTTTCATTTAAGTCATAGATTAAAGAATTTGCTTATTATTCTAAAAATATCAAATGAGTTGTTATAGATTTAAATGAAAATAATAAATTTTTGTTATAGAGGGTGTCCCAAAATTATAGGATCCGTTACCAGTTTTGTCGAAAACGGTTAACCCTATTTAAGAAAGCAATACTCTAGACATATTAACCTCTGGGACTGAGGCACATGTCCATGCATACTGCCCTTTCCCTTTAGCCTTTTCTCTTTCTAGTCGAAAAATCAATAAGAACGAAAACACACTGTTGCACAATTATGAAACCTCTCTTTTAGTTTTTACTTATTTCCTATAACTTTCTAGTTAAAAGACTGATGATAGATTTAAAAATAACATGGTTCAATAGAAAATTTTAAGAGTACATTTTGATGAAAAGACTTTTGCAAAATTCACCTGTTTTGAATTTCACAGTAGTTATATCCTACATTTATTCATTATTAATTTCTACTGCTCTCAGTAACGATTATCTCTTGTTGTCTCAACACCATTTTAATCCTCACAAACAAACATGTAATTGCTTTATTTTTGTA